AGTTGGCGTCCTACACTAGCTGCGTAGAGCGTATCGTTTTTTTACGCTCCCAATGAGCGTTGTTGGCTCTCTTGTTCTATTTATACTCTTTGGTGCCATTCATTATGGAGATAGTTACAGTATTTAATCTGATATGTCGTAATGATAGGGAGACTAAAGTTTAGAATTCTTTTAGAAAAAATGTATATGCATTACTCTATGCATTACTCTTATTGGAAAAATGTTGCCATAAATTTTAGTTTTACGCAAAAGGATAAATAAAAAGAGAAATATAGATTATCTCATAGGAGATTACCATTTTCTCGACATCTTCGTAATGCTAGGCAAATTCAGAGGTTGTAGGTCGCATCTGTGGAAATGCACTCGATTTTGTGTATACAGTACTTTATACAATGAGAAATATAGACTATCTCATTGGAGATTACCATTTTCTCGACGACATCTTCGTTACTAGGCAAATGTAGATCGCATCCGCTGCAATGCACTCGCTTTTGTGTATATTTTTTACAGTCGAGCGTCAGAGGTAAGCAGGGTACTATAATTGTTTCACGAACTCGCCACATTCTAATATCTTCTTATTTATTTTTTTTATCTCACCCACCAATGCCATGAACTCTCATGATAAGATATTTTAATTCATCCCACAATTAATCGAAGTAAGTTTAGGCCTAGCTTAGCAGTGTTGCTAGGCTATTGTTTCTGGTGCCTACTATATTTCTTTGCAGACCTATCACCAAATCAAACATAATAAGTTCATCTGCATTTGTGTGGAACAAACAAAATCAAATCTGCGAGTGTGAAAAAAATAGGTGCCCCAACCAGGATTTTACCCCCTGTCATTAGGATTATGACCCCCTGTCATAGACAGCCTTCTGCTGTCTATGACAGGGGGTGGGGAGTGGGTGAACACATTGGGGAAGTGAGTAGGAATTGCTGATCATGTTATCAAAATCATTTTTCATAAATCAAATCAAATCAAATCAATTCATAAAATGATGAATTTCATGCCATATCATTTCATTTATTCATCCAATTAGTATTAAATAAAAACATTGAAATACACTGTAATACTGAAATTAGTACACAAATCAGACAGTCCAAAAAATAATAAAGCTAAAATTAGTTTTATTATTAATGTATGTACTGTACAACAGACATCCAAAACATTTTAACTCCTGGTGACTACTTTGGAATTATATAGAATAGGACAATATTTGTGGTTCGAATTTCTTTGCAGATTTTATATATTTTTTTGTTATAAACCACCACTGGATTGTAATATAATATACTGTGGAACAAAATGTTCTACTATATTGTAAAAATGGTATCTACGATTATTATGTTCAACTGTAGTCCCATACCTTTTACTGTCATATGTGACAGAACACAGTTACAAACATGAAAACACAACAAATATACGTAAAGTATTGTGTTTTTATGGTGCTTTCGAGACTCAATATTCACACAAGAAAGAAAGTTAAACATTTGTGTACATACAGTAAAATAGGTTCAGTATACGAAGTATTAAGGCCAACTCAGACAGCGTCGGCCGACGTAGCCCGACCCGATTTATCGTCGGGGACAGTCTTAAGCCGTCGTGAGAAATATTAAACATGTTTAATATTCTACTACGCGACTGCCACCGACGCACACCATCGCGCCTGCGTTTAACTAACACAGGCCCGACGCGACAACAAATCGTGTCGGGCTGCCTCGTACGACGCTGTCTGAGTTGGGCTTTACATATACCGTACAAGTAACCATATATTTATTGTTTTAAATATGAATAATTTTATCTTCGTAGACATTTTATATTAGTAAAGAAGATTTTAAATACGGAGAATTGGATCGAGAGGTGCAGAGAAAACAGGTAATTTAATAAAAAAGAAAATTCAACATAATGTAGTATTGTACTACAAACTAAGTACTGTATACAGCATTTTGAAATTATTGAATAAGATCCAAAACCACAAACTGTTTACAGTGGTGGATTCAAGGGGACGGGACAAGCTAAAATAAAATAAATGGTTAAAAAATGAATATTTATAATTAAATTTAGGTCTGAGAGTGCCATTTCTGGTCATCTAGATGTGCCATAATCATAAATTTTCTGACCTCAGCCTCAACCATGCTGGGTCTAAGGTGGTGTAGACCCTCTGTCTGTAAAAAGTCCCTCAATGGACCCCTTTGTTTGGAATTCCTGCCTCTACCACTGGTTTATAACTTTCAAACCAATTACGATGTGACTTACTTTGTTGGCTGGTGTAAATAGCATGAGCCTATATTCCATGGCTTTATGGTATTTCTTACAGTATTTGATTAGAAATTTAATTTTCACCATTGACTTTCCATGCTGGTTATTATTTTCCTTCATATTTTTTATTATATGTCATGATTAAAAAATATAATAGGAGGGCCATTTCTCAGTTTTTAAGAAATTGCTGATGTTGATAATTTTGAATGTCATGAAATAAGTATTTAATGAAAAATTGCTTTCCTCCTTGTAAATTATATTATTATGATATGATTTTTTTTTATAGATACCAGATTAAGAATTAATTTCAGTTTTTGAATATAGTTCTATATACATGAAAAAAATATATCAACAGTTTAGTTCTTTTTTGCCTAGATCCACACAATTTGCAGGGCAATCAAGGAAGGCATCGGAAAAGAGTTGAACATAGAATTTACTATTGAGCGCAATGGAACACTCCGATTTTCTCTGTTTGGTCCACTCAATCTTATTGAAAAAGGTATTGCTTTAATCCAAAGACGACTGAGAAAGGTAATAATTTTCTTATGTACAATTTGTTTTCTAATAATGGCTCTTTGACATGGCTACCTCTTGCAGCCCAATTTACCTCCTGCAGGTTCGTTTACCAGCCTGCTGGCTTGGCTATCTGCTGTGGTCTTCTCTATCTGTAGCAGGCTTGATTACCTACAATGCAGGCTCAACCACCAATATGAATGATCCTTGCATTGTATTCAGAGGAATATAAGAAATATATAATTTCATGATTAGGCGAAAAATAATCTTGGTGGGTGTGGGCGGTGGGCTTGTATGTATGACCCAGTTCTGTTGCCAACGATCAATTGCTCAAAGTTTTTTGCCAGCCGGCTAAATTGCCCGAAATCAGTCTACCAAAACTTAATTTGTGAATTATATTTGTAGTTTAATTTCACGTTTTGTACATTGCCTTGTTACTGTTTATTTTATTTGTTTTAAATATTGTCTTTATAAACGCACCGTCATTATGCTATGCGTGACATGTCCCGCCGATGGAAAGGTGTAGTTTTTAAAATAAAATAAATTATTATTATTATTGTTTAGGATCGTCTGCAAAAGAAAAGTGACCTCCCCGATGGCATTCAACCTTTGACACTTGACAATCTCAAGCTGCACAACAAGAGGTTGGAATCGCGGCGTCAATTTTCTTGCAGCCCCTGTAATGAAACGTGGTGGCGCTGGGTTCCTACTCATAAACCAGTTTCACGGTAGGATAAAAGAGTTTTAATAAGCATTTTGTGCCATCAAGTTATTGAATTTGACGGTGCACTGTAAGTAACATAAGTGTTACAACTAGATTTGAATATGATAACTTTTATGCAATATGTGGTGTAAAGGCGGAGAATATATCCATGCCACCAGAGAATGTGACCTCCTAACTTGGCTGCTTACTACATGCTCAGGTGTCACTCAGTTAGTGGAATTTTTAGTGATGGAATGCAGGTGAGACATTAGCTAGCCCAGAGCTGGTGGTAGCAGCATTTAAACTATCCTAATACACTTAATGAAATCTATTACGTTTCTAGTGCTAGCTATTTAATTTAATATAGATCTTGGTTATGCATGGAGACCTCA